AAACTTTCTTGAACACAATGAAAGAAAGTCTAGACCTTGACGACGAAGATATTCAGAAAATCACGGATCAAAAAGTTGCCGGTCAAGTCTTCCTTCGTTTGACTGAAGAAAAACTTATGGAAGATGGCTTAAAAAGAGGACCGGCAGGAGCAATCGCAGGGTTGATTGAGACACTTAAGGGCGAAGAGCAAGGTAATTAGTGAACGAATAATGCAATCATCTGTTGATTCGCAATCAAAAATTGGTAAAAAGAGATGGTTGACAGTTCAAAATGGTTATCACGGCGGGATACTTGTTTAAGGGGACATTTGGTACATTGTTTACTAATTTGTACTTTTTCCTTAATAGGGGTGGGCGAAAGTGGTAAGTAATTAAATCTTAATGCTGAATAAGACGAGGACCACTTAATAATTGTTAATAATACTTCTGTCCATCTGTTGACGACAACTCAAACATTTAACAACAGGCTTGATGGAGAGGATAGGGCAGTTGGAAGAGACTCAAAAAGAGACCCTGAATCTTCTAAAGCGTCAATTCGACGATAGTCAGACATTCGGATTATCTTCTATGAATACTCAGAAAAGGCTGAAACTTTGTGCGCGTTTCGGTGTGAAACCACAAGTTGAAGTTATAGCCTTCAACAATTTTGAAAGGGTTGGCGATTCGCCTTCTCCATTTGCGTGGCGCAAGAATGTCAGCGAAAATGATCATTCTGAAGAATACATCGACTACATACAGAATACTTTCCTCGGGGCCGAATTTCTCACCGGTTATCGAGTGCTAGACGTTCATAGCAACCCTAAGTTTTGGAAGAATGGTACAACTGGCGCAGTGGTGATTCAATCGGTACCACCAGCACGTAGTCAGAATGTGGTAAAGCTAGTCTTTGAGCTGAAGAAGGTAAGTTTATAGTGAGATCAAGGTTCCTTCCAATTAATTCAGACTTCAACAGTAGAATATCGTTTGTTATAGAAAGTTGGAGATGGTGATGAACACCAAGCCATTGGCGAATTGATCGCGTCAAACGAGATCTCATCGAAGAAACCAGTAGTCATGCTTACAGACTTTTCCTCGACTTTCAACTTCTATTGGATTGGTCGCTCTCAAGATGAAAGCACCACTTCCGTCGTCTGTATGACCGGTTTTAATGACATTCATCAAGCTTCAACATTCGCACGCGCTTTGGTGGCTCCCGATCGAGTGGTAGAACATATAGCGCAGGAAAACCGAGATAACCTACCTCTCGATGAAAAAAGAGTTGTGATCACGGAATTAGTGTACGATGAAACTGGAGATGATATAGCCAATCTCGACGATTTCGTAGATGAAATGGAACCCGAGGAGCGTGCTTCATACGAAATCACAAAAAAGCTCAAGAGATTCCGACCATTCGTACCTCCGACTTTTCGTGAATGGTACCCTACCAAACCATTTCCATTAGCGTGGTACTTGTAATACAGATGCATATACTCAATGTTAAAATTTCATTTCAAAACCCACGAACAATATCTTAGAATCATCCAAAATTAAAGAACTGATTGATGTAATGGTTGCGTTCTTTAATTTATAATAAAAGTAAAAGAACACCAATTAATACAATATAAAAAACTTGGACCATAGCGAGACTGCATGGGAGGGAAACTGGTGCACCAGTGGAAGTCAGCTCCAAAGCTTTGCCCGAAGGCGATGACTACCCCTATTCTCTCGTCCCGCTAGGTCCAGCGCTATCACTATTCTGCTCCTCTTCTACCTCTGTATCTAATTCTCGTTCATTATCAACCCATAGCCTAATACATTCTATAGTTTCTTCCGTCGGATTTCTAGTAAGACGCTTGTGGAATTTCCTTATAGTGGCGTCTCCAAGACGCTGGCCCAGCTCCCTTATTTCTTCTGAAATTTTGGAATACATTGATGACTCGGTTCGTTTCTCTAGTCGACGTTTTTCTTTGAATAGGCGATCGAAATCTTGCCAGAGTTTGAATATCGCCGGTATAATCTTGAGGCGTTCTATTAGGCCCGGACCGTCGAGAGCCGGAATTACTGTCACGACTGCCAACACCATATAGTTGTGGATATAACTTTACTAACCCATCGAAAAACGAAGTAGCTGTTACAAGGAACGGGGATACGTATTCATTCCGAGTAGCCTCCGTTTCACCGTGAATCGCTTTATAACGAAGTCTCAGATCTTTGCAAAGGTGAGCCATCAAATCTTTTTTGTCGATACCGCAATCGAAAGTGGGGAATTCATCAATGCCTGACGCCAGGCCAAGGAGTTCGCATACCTTACCGAGTTTCCAATCTGAAAAGGGCTTTTGCACCGTGTCAATCTGGACTTTGAGTGTTAAGAATCCCTGCAATGCGCAGGATTTGAGATATTGCCTAAATGTTGCGTCATTCTCCAAACCTAACTCTTCACAATTCTTCTCAGCTTTACCAAAACGTAGTGTCAAATCTTCAGGCTTCGTATCCTGCGGAAATGGGAGAACTTTGAGAATTGCCAGCTTCATAGAATCCAACGTCACTGTGCCAATATCAACCGGCCATGAGAAAGTCTTGCGTTGCTTCCCATATAAAGCTTTAATGATGAATACTCTGTGATTGTTTTCGAACGATGCCAACTTTTCCCGAAGTTCTGTAAGTTCACGGCTCGAACTGGCGATTTGCATCGGTGGCTCGACAATGACATGAATATGTCGCTTCGGTGGTGCAGACCAGTAATCTTCTACGTCTCGAGTTGCCAGAAGTTCGACATCTAATGTGGGGTTGGCCAACTCGGAATCACGATCGTCAGGAATTTCTACCTGCCACAGTTTTATTTCGTCGGCTTCTACATCACGGAAAGTCAAAGGTTTCTCCGCCTTGATGACTTTTTTAAGGTGGCTTACTAACTTGCCACTATCAATATCAACAGCGAACGGATTCGTGGGTAAGTTTCCTTTAATCAAACAGACCAAAGTAATAGACATTTCGAATTATATATGATTTTTTGGTGGATTTTTATTGGTAGACTGTGGATGGTACACAAGAAAAAAGCGAAAAAAACGATAAATGGAGCAGGCATGGGTATATGTGAAAAAGTGGTCGATCACACAATGCCATGTATTACATTACTTTATCGTTCCCCAAGGGAACGGTTTTATATCATGTGATATGTCGCACCACGTGCGATTTTTTCTAGACATTCTGGAACTCTTCTATCACACACAGGCTAAATGTTTTATTTTATTGCAGAGCAATGAGGCTTCCCTATACGAAAAAATTGTCTCGAAGGCGATAACTGATACAAATAATAGCAGAGCTAGTGCCAAGGCACATAAAATTTGCGAATATATATCGCAATTACATGATACGAATACGGACAAAAATCTAATTCTCTTCGGGTTTTACGAGGATATGGATAATATTACGATCGAGATTCTCACCGAAAAAATCACTGATTCTAGCTTCTGGTTGCATATTTGAGTATTCCACAGGTCCCAGACGAAATGCGCGAAGATGGTAGTTAACGTGGGTTAATCCGTTTGGTAATAGGGGTTGAATTAGTTCTCTGAGTGCTTTCTCCGTTGATGTAGTAAAAATAGGAATTATGTGAATTCGGTAAGGTAAACCATGGAATGCATTAATATACATAAAGAGGCAGTTGAGATTAATGCTGGCGCCGGTAGTTTCACTCATTTTACGTTCCTAAATAAAAAGATTCATAATGAGTATGATCTCACTTTCATAGATATTTAAACAGATGTATCTTTTAAAATTCGTGGGAAGATAAGGGATCGATTTTGGACGATTCCTGCTTATTTATATCGGTTCACTCAATCCGAAGCTTGTTAGAGGGTTTTGCCATGTTAGTGGTTTTGTTCTCTATCGTCCGGATCTCAGATTCCTAACATAGTAAGATTCTCAAACCTGTTACGATTCAGCCCCATAGAAAGCGTCGTCATATGCCAAGAACTCAACAAAGAAGAGGTACATGATTATATTACACAATTTAGAGGGGATTTCATTCCCTTTAGGGTTGAGATCGCTCCTGCAAGACGAAAATTGGTTAACGCAACGACGACCTGGAATCGCAGAAATTTCGAACTCCCATAGCTTGAGGTTTTTGTTATGAAAATTAATAGATATTGTCGAGCCTTTCCTCCGATAACCTTTTGAAGCTTCGTTTTCGCATGCCTTATCACAAAAGCATGTGTGGAAGCAAGACGTTTTCCTATGTAAAATAAAGCGAAAAAAATAACAATTATCTATGTAGTGGATACCCTAACCATGGCGAAAAAAAAGTTACGGGTCATGTGATATCCGGCATGTCCGGAAAAATTCTACGATAATAGAGATTATAGTTAAAGATTAATTTAAAGGTTAGGGTTAAGATTAGATCTGTGATCAAAATTATATATAAAATTGCCTTCCCGACATTTTTTGTTAGTCTATCAAATTAGATTTAGGCATCTGTTTCCCGTATTTTTTACATTTTTTGCTTTTTTCATTTTCTTGTGTCGAATTTGTTTTGCCGGGCTGATCAAAAATTTATGCATTTTTATTGGTTTGTGTCACTAGTAAATCAAAAATTCGCGCATTCTTATTGGTAACACGTGATCCGTAACTTTTTTTTCGCCATGGCTAGGATACTTCTATATAGTACAGTTACGTATATTCCACAAACTTCTATTCCAATTCCGATTGATTAATAATTTCTGGTTTTTTAATTATTCTGATTGGATGAACGAATAATGGGAGATCAGTGATATATGATTGCACATGATATCACATGATATCACTCTCTTGATGCTTATTGTAATGTGATATAGCGAAATAAATTAAATATATTTTTATTATGTATTATAATAACAAAAAATATCTTATGAATTATGTGATTAGATTTTCAAGTATATAGGATTCAGCCCTAAAGAAATCTGCCTCCCAATTACGGATAAAGATAAACAGCTTTTTTAGGAATTAATAGCAAATCAGGAAGAGATGATTGATACAGTCAAATCCCTCTATAGTTACACCTATTTATAGTCATACCTCTCTATAATTACTCTATTTTGCTTTCTCATTTACATATAAATATAGTAAAAAAAATCTCTATAATTATATTCCTTCTATAGTTATCAAATTTTGCTTTTCTGAGGGTGATGACTATAAAAGGATTTGACTGTATTGTAATAGATGAGTATCGATTTTTACTTCATCATGAACATAACTATAAAAGTAATAATATGATTCACATAATGTAAGTATATATATGTACTGAAAAAGATGTGGAAAAAGTATTGATAAAGATATCTCCATTGAAGATATTATCTAGAAAGATTTTAGTCCATATCAAAAAAAGATTCAAAGATTTTTCACTCACACCAGTTGTTATAGTTGATTAGACTATTTAATATATTATCTCATTCTGAATTAATTAAATTTGATAATACTTCGATATAAATCTGCAGATTCAAACTTGACCACATCTATGAAATGTGTGAATCGTATTTTCAGATTTTGAGTTGCTCTTTTAATTTCTTTATTGAAATCATCATCCAATCTTCTGGATAATGGAGGTGTAGGAGATATGTTGTGAAATATTTTATGATGTTGTCACAATCAGGCTCTTGATAGGTATAATCATGATATAGGTGTTGTTACGGCCTGGAATTATTCTTAATTCCTTAAATTCTTAATTCCAGTCATATAATAGAGTAGAGATAGCAAAGATAGCAAAGATAGCAGAGATGTCAGACATATTAAACTTAGCGCATTTATCTACTATATTATATTTATCCTATATGTATAATATATCTTATATTGTACTATTCTTATCATAAAATATTTTATATAAATAAAGAATCTTTTGGATAAACCAAAAGGCATCAATTGATCAATACAAAATCTAGCTAGTCAATA